CGATATTTTCACTAAGGATCACGACTTTCAGTTGTTCTACGATGGGCTTAATTAGAGGGAGGATCAGTTAGCGCGTAAGGTTAAGGAATTGAAAGAGTGAGACGAGGACCTTATGAAGGACGTTGCCCGTTATAGTGATCTTGAGGCGGCCCTTAAGGTCAGGAAAGATGAGCTTGAGCTAAATAAGGGAGTGATGACTGAAAATGCCGACCTCCAAGCAAAGGTGGCCAATTTAACCACCAAACTGAACACGAAGGAAGCGGAGGTCGTTGACCTTAAGAGTGAATTGAGCGCATTTGTTGATAGATTGGCCCATGCCGAAAGGGACAAGACAACGGTCGTCTCTAAGGTAGCGGCTTTAGAAGACGCCCTCTGTGTTTGTAGATTGGAGCGGACGAAGGAGTCGGAGGCATCTGCGCTTAAAGTAGCGGGACTTGAGGAGCGTATTCAACGTTTGAAGGCGGAATTGTCCGCATTAAATGAGCAGGTGGCTTCTTTGAAAATGGAGGACGTGCGACATCAGTTGCAGCCCTCTACATCCCATACTTCAGTTGATCCTGACATGCCTCGCCATTTGTATGAGTTGTAGGTTCACGCTGAAGCCCGGCTCGATGTGTACAAGGCTCTTTATGCTGACGGGAGGGCGTCCGAGACGGAGCTTGAGGATGTGCGTGCCAAGGCCCATGCAGCTCGTGAGGCATGCAGATATGACCCCATCACGCCTGGCGGGGATGATACTAGTTCTGGTGATGCAGACAAACTTGCCTCCGATTCTTGGTACGAGGAGGTGTATGCCACAGGGAATGATGTGGCATAGTTTTCGGTTGTATTTACTTTTGCTTCGCCATTTTTGCGAGGGCATCCCTGAGCCCTTTGTAAAAACAAATATTTGTAATATATTTGCTGTAATGAAAATTGTTTTGGTTGTGTACCTCTGAGTTATTGTTCCCTTTCTCCGGTTTGTTTGACGATGACTTTTGCCGCAGTCATGTTACTTCGAATCTTTGTTAAAATGTTAAACCCGTTATGTAGTGTGTTTAGTTGAACTCTTTTAGTTAGCAACGACCTTGGCCATAGGGATATTACTTTCGAGCTGGTGCCGAAGTAGTATACCGTCATGGTTCGAGTGAAGTCGAACTCTTTTCTTCAACGATGGCCTTAGCCATTGGGATGTTACTTTCGAGCTGGTGTTGAAGTAGTATCCCGTCATGGTTTGAATGAAGTCGAACTCTTTTCTTCAATGATGGACTTAGCCATTGGGATAATACTTTCGGCCTGGTGCCGAAGTACTATCCCGTCGTGGTTTGACTGGCCATAGCCATGGGGATGTTACTTTCGAGCTGGTGTTGAAGTAGTATTTTGTCGTGGTTCAAATGAAGTCGAACTCTTTTCTTTGATGATGGCCTTAGCCATGGGGATGTTACCTTTGAACTAGTGTCGAAGTAGTATCCCATCATGGTTCGAATGAAGTCGAACTCTTTTCTTTGATGATGTCCTTAACCATGGGAATGTTACTTTCGAAGTGTTGAAGTAGTATCCGTTGCAGTTCGAATGAAGTCAAACTCTTTTCTTTGACGATAGCCTTAGCCATGGGGATTTTACTTTCGAGCTAGTGTCGAAGTAGTATCCCGTCGTGAGGGTGGCATTCTATTTTATTTGCTGGAGTGTCGTATATGCTGGTTTTATTCATACATTGGAGATGCGTGTTCATTTCGTGTACATAATAGAGTGATTTTATTCATATGTCGGAGATATATGTCAACTTCGCTCGTACAATGGCGGTACATGTCGATTTCGTACATATAATGGAGATTCTTTATAGCTAGTCCCTTCATTGCTCGGCCTGGAGATGTAATCAGTAGGTGGGGCAGTGAACAATAATTCGAACCTCGAGACGTCCCCCTTGTCGCCTCATTAAAACCCTCCCCGAGAAAACCCGATTGGGACAAAACTCGGGCGAGGGAAAAAGAGTATGACTTGGGCGGTGTCTCTTTTCAGAAGTGGAAGTACTTGAGGTGGCGACATTCCAATTATTTTGTAGTAGTTTTCCTTCTATTGTTTCTAATTGGAACGCTCCCTTGCTTGCTGCTGCTGTGATTTTATATGGCACGTCCTAGTTTGTTCCCAATTTTCCTTCATGCGGGTCTTTCACCGCTTATGTTTTGGCTTTTAGCACGTAGTCCCTAACTTTGAGTGGTCGTACTTTGGCCTTCTTGTTATAGTACTTGCTTGTTGTTTTTGGGCCACCATCCTTATGTGTGCCATATCCCATCGTTCTTCGATCTCATCCAGGTTATGTAATCTGCTTTTGTCGTTGTTTGGTCCACTCTCATTGGAGTATCTCAGGCTAGGTCCCCCGACCTCAACGGGTATGACTGCGTCAGTGCTGTAGACCAGTGATTATGGCGTCTCACTTGTGCTGGTTTTCGGCATTGTGCGGTAGACCCATAATACCTCTGGTAGCAGTTCCGGCCATAACCCTTAGCGTCCTCGAGCTTTTTCTTTAATATGTTCAATATTGTTTTATTGGAGGACTCTGCTTGACCATTGCCGGCAGGGTGATATGCCGTGGAGAGTCTCCGCTTGACGTGCCATTTTTCAAAGAACTCAATCGTCTTTTTCCCAATGAACTGGGGTCCGTTGTCGCAACTGATTTCTTTGGGGATGTCGAAGTGGCATATGATGTTTTTCCAGATGAACGCGATGACTTCTTGTTCGCGTATTTGAGCGAACGCACCTGCTTCCACCCATTTGGAAAAGTAGTCAGTTAAAACCAAAAGAAAGCGTATCTTACCTCGCCCTGCTGGAAGGGGTCCAACGATATCCATCCCCCATTTTATAAACGGCCATAGAGAAGTGACGGAATGCAGGAGTTCCCCCGTATGGTGTATCATAGGGGTGTATTTCTGGTATTGCTTACATTTCTTGACATAATCTACAGCCTCTTTTTCATAGAGTACCAGTAGTATCCTGCACGAATAAGACACTAACGAGGGTACGGTTTCCTGTATGGGCATCGCAGTGGCCTTCGTGTACCTATTCGAGCACACACCTTGTCTGATTTGGTCCAAGGCATTTGGCTAAAGGGTCGTCGAACGTCCTTTTGTAAAGGTCGTGGTTTATGAGGCTGTATCTGGCCGCTTGTATTCAGAGCTTTTTGGCTTCTTTTTTATCTTGTAGGAGTGTTCCCTCCTGCAGATATGATATGAGGCGATTATGCCAGTCCCAAGTTAAATTTATAGAATGTACCTCGACTTGGTCTATTGATGAGTGGAGGAGGGTGACCACGTTCTCCTTGGTGATATTTTTAGTTGTTGTTGCCAGCTTGGCGAGACTGTCTGCTTCGATCTTTTGTGCTCGTCATATTTGGTTGAGTCGGCATTCGTCGAATTCTGGTAGCATCTTGTGGATTTCGGTTTGGTATTTCTGCAACCTCTGCTCCTTAATCTAGAAAGTCCCAGTAACTTGGTTTACAACAAGTTGAGAGTCGCAGTGGAGGATGACTCGCTGAGCACCATACTTGAGGGCCAATTTTAGTCCTGCAATTACGGCCTCATACTCGGCCTCATTGTTAGTCATTTCAGGGCATCATATGGATTACGAATTACTTCATCCGTTAGGATTTTGGTCTGGTATTTCTGCAACCTCTGCTCCTTAACCTGGAAAGTCCCAGTAGCTTGGTTTACAACAAGTTGAGAGTTGCAGCGGAGGATGACTCGCTGAGCGCCATACTTAAGGGCCAATTTCAGTCCTGCAATTACGGCCTCATACTCGGCCTCATTGTTAGTCATTTCAGGGCATCATATAGATTACGAATTACTTCACTCGCCTGGATCTGCCCTGGTGAGTAAGGGTGGTGAGGACAAATATGCTTTCAGTTTCCTTAGGGCGTCGAGACATTCTGAATTCCACTAAAGTCCATTGTCTTTCCTTAATACATTAAAGAATTTATGGCATCTATCCGATGACCGTGAGATGAACCTCGACAAGGCGGATATCCGTCCTGTTAGTTTTTGTACCTATTTTTCGCTGGTCAATGTTTCGGGTATTCCTTTGATGGCCTTAATCTGTTCTGGATTGACCTTGATGACTCTTTATGATACCAGGAAACCGAGGGACTTACCCGAGGTTATGCCGAAGGTGCATTTTTCGGGGTTCAGTTTCATGTCGTACCGTCTTATATGTCGAAGGCTTCCTTCAGATGATCGATATGATATTCTTTCCTTTTCGACTTAACCAGCATGTCGTCAATGTAGGCTTCCATTGTTTTATCGAGTTGGTTTTTGAACATCTTGGTGACCAATCTCTGATACGTCGCCCCTATATTCTTTTGTCCGAACGACATGACCTTATAGCAGTATGTTCCTTAGTGAGTGATGAAAGTAGTTTTCTCCTGGTTTTCTTCTTCCATGAGGATCTGGTTGTAACCCGAGTAGGCATCTAAGAAGCTTAGCAACTCGTGTCTTGTTGTTGTATCGATGAGTTGGTCGATGTGTGGAAGTAGAAAGGAATCTTTTGGGCATGCTTTGTTTAGGTCCGTGAAATCTACACACATCTGCCACTTTCCATTTTTCTTTTTCACCATGACCACATTGGCGACCCACTAAGGGTATTTTGACTCTCGGACGGAGCCATTTGCGAGCAGCTTATTGACTTCTTCGCTGACGGCTTCATTGATCGCGACATTGAACTTCCTTCTAATTTGTCGTACTGGCGGGTATAGGGGGGTTGATATTTAGCTTGTGTGTGGAGATATTCTTTGGGATACCTGGCATATCTGCATGGGAGAAGGCAAACAAATCAGCATGGTTAGTCAAGAATTTATGAAACTTACTTGGTTCCGAGAGGTTGTGCCCGATATAAGCCTTTTTTGTGCTGTCGTTGCCACCTAGTATGACGGGATCAAGATTTTCTATCGTTGACTTGGAAGCTTCCACGATGTCAGGGTCCTTGATAACGTCAGTCCATACGTCAAGTTTGGCTCCCAACATTGCTGATTGCTATGTTTTCGCATCTGCCCCTTTGAGTTGTTGGGTGTGGGTGCAATCTTGGGCGATGCAATAACATTCTTGTGCGGTGCGGTGCTCGCCGCGAATGCTGAATACTCCCCATGGGGTAGGAAACTTGATCACTTGATAGAGACTGGAAGGGACCGCTCGCATGGCATGTATCCACGGGCGACCTATGATGGCGTTGTAGGCTGTTTCTTGGTTCATGACGTGAAACGTCGTTTCCAGGGTGACTCCTCCGGCTAGAATGGGTAGCACTATCTCTACAGAAGTTCGTTCGACTGCATTACTAAAACTTGTTAGCGTTATGCAGCGCAGTATTATTTTATCTTCGAGTCTCATCTGTACAAGGACTCGAGGATAGATAATACACGCGCCGCTCCCGTCATCTACCATTATTCTTTTTACATCAGTATCTGCAATATGTAAAGTGATAACAAAAGCATCATAGTGAGGGAAAGACAAACCGTCGGCATCTGACTTATCGAATATGATACTGTATTCGAGGTCATCATACCTTTCATGGGTGTATGATCGTTTGAGTTTATGTGTGGTGGTGAATTTGACATGATTGATTGCTGCGCCATCGCCCCCGCCGATGATCATCTGAATAGTGCGAGCGGCAGAAGGCGGTTTTGGAGGTCCTTGGGGATGTTTGCGTTCGCGGGCGAAGTTAGCCCATCCTCGATCGCTCAACAACTCTTTCAGGTGTCCCTGGTTTAGTATTCGCACTACCTCCTGTCGCAGTACTATGCAATCTTCAGTTTTGTGACCCCTTTCTTGGTGAAATTCGCAGAAAGCGTTCGACTTCCGAGTGCTGGGGTTTGACCTCATCTTTTGCAGCCATTGCACCTTTGTACCGAGTTTCTCTAGTGCGTACACTATTTCTGAAAGAGAAACACAAAAATTGTGAGCAGATAGGAGTGGAGGCATACCTTTCTTATGTCAATATGGTGTTGTATGTTGAGAAGGAGCATCCGTGTGCCACGGTGGAGGCGGAGCAGACGTCCTGACGTAAGGCTGATGCCTTTCTCGACCGAGACGGGCCCCCGACTGATCTTTTCAACCGACGTTGTAATGATCTTTCCTTGCTTCAGTTTGAAATGACGTCAACCGTTAGGTCGGACCGTTGAGGTTGTCCTTGTCGGCTCGTACCTCGGTGTAGTAGGCGTTATGGATTTTTTCCCAAGTAGTTGGAGGGTATTTCATGAGCCTGTTTAGCAATTTTCTGGTCGCTCTCGACCCATTCCTGTTTAGTCCGTTCTGGAAGGCTGCTACTGCCATTCCCTCTAACACATTCGGCAAGCTCATTCTCACCCTGTTGAACCGAGCTAAGAAGTCCCTGAGTCTCTTGCCGTGCATCTATCTTACGACAAATATATCGTTTACCCTAGTTTCTGCCTTTTTGGCCCCTGCATGGGCGATAACAAATTTGTCTGCCATTTCCTCGAACGTTACTTTCGAGTGTGCCGATAGTTGAGAGTACCATGTCAAGGCTCCCCCTATTAGGGTTTCGTCGAATGTTTTCAATAGCACCGATGGTACCTGCTCTTTTGAAAGATAGTTACCTTTTATGACTATGACGTAGTGGATGATATGATCTTCTGGATTGGTAGTACCATCATATATCTTTAGGTAGGGCGGCATTTTGAAGGTCTTTGGAATGGCGTAGGGGGCCGCTTCTTCACTGTATGGTTGCTCGATGAATCGACTAACGTCGCGTTTTGGCAACAACTTTGGGGTGCCTGGTATTTTGTCAACCCTCTCTTAGTGTTCCGTCATTTGGTCACTTAATGCCTTAGTCTCATTTCCCATCTCCTCCATTTTCTTTAAAACGGCTGCAAGCGTATTATTACCTGCGTAATTAACGACTTGAGTGTTACCTGTATGGGAGCATCTTGCTCATCAGCGTTTATCGTGACATCTGCATGTGCAACATTCCTGTTATCCCTTTGGGCGGGTTTATCAAGTATTGTGTTCAAAGTACTTGTTAGCCATTCTTCCAGCAATTTTCTTCTTGCCGGTGGTGCCTTTCCTGTTGCAGATGTGGAGGCTTCCTTCTCGCGCGAAGCAATTACGCTTTCGTGCATGGGAGGTGAAGCGTCTCCCCTGGGTGTGGTGTTCGGTGTCTCATTTTTGTTATCTTCCCTGCTGTCTTCTTTGATGGTGTTCATGAGGTCGGTTGTGACGCCTACTATTGTTTTTTGACTTGCATCTCCTTTCCCTGACATTGTTAATTTGCGCAGAGCTAGGAAGAGGCGATTATCCCTCTCAAGGGTCTAGATGAGACTAAAATCTTAGCTAAAGAAATCCTCACAGATGGCGCCAAATTGTTTGACCAAAAGATATCGAAACCTTTTTGATTAAATCACTTAATGAAGATGAAGAGGTAAATCTCAGCCAAGCATAATAAAATCTAGATTAAAAGATGCAAGGGATAAACAAGGTGAATAATGCTTCTTAATATGTCGAAACCAAATGATTAAGCGTAAATATGATAACTTTGTATGTAGAGAAATGTTGCAATGGATGCTATTAGCCAAGATTAAAAAATGATGTGTGGATTCCAAAACTGTAATAAGCAAAAGTTGTCTTTTTTGTATTCACTTTTCGATCCCCTTTTACAAAGTCTTCTCTCTCTATTTATAAGGGACAATCCCCTCTTGAACCCTTAAAAAGTATAACATAAACAATATTCGAAAAGCATATTCCTACTGTCTCCTACTACGCCTACACTACTACAAATATTGTGCATTTACTAATCGTTGTCAGTCGTCACCCTTTACAATGACCAAAGGACGCTGCGTCGTAAGGGCCTCGTCCCTCGCCGTACTCGTTAGTGATCGTGGTCGTCCAAATTAGGACCTATACATTGATCACTAATTATTTTGTGAAGCAACGGTGCATGACAGCTAACCGTTCTTGTTACTAGACTATGGGTAGTCTGATATTCTGTCTAATTTTATGGAGATTATAATATAGGAATTGCTTATACAGTAAATAATAATAGAGAAAGTTATTATTATACAGAAGAAGGTTATGCGATGAATAATAAGATATATAGGAATTGTCTATTTTTAAAATATTGTTATGTTTAGATACTGTTATTCAGGTATTTTTAACATATGTATTCTTATCTCACATTTCATCTGATATAAAACATGGTCAGCTATTTCCAGCAAGATAGGACTCTATTCTTATAGTGTTGTATTCTCAGATTTAAGTTATTACACGAATTTTCATTTGCGTCGTTGTCTAATAGGGGCGGACCAATAAGTTTTGTGGCCTAAAACCAAACTTTACGAGGGGCCTTAACTTTTTTAAAAAAAAAATTATTTCTTTATTTATTTAAAATCTATTTTTTTGTGTTTCTGAGATACGAAGTTATTAATATATAATTTTCTTATAATCTGTAACTCCTAATAAGTCTTTTTTAATTGACAATATAGCTAATCTATTTAACCTTTCTTGAGACATTGATGATCTTAAGTAAGATTTTATCAATTTTAATTTTGAAAACTTCTTTACGCTGAAGCGACAGTAACAAGAGTTATTAACATTATTCCATAAAAAATATAGGCATTGAAAAAATAATCGAACCTTCTTATTTGACCGAGTGTATCAATTAAACTGCAATCTTCTAATTCCACTATTTTCCTTAATACTTTTAATTCTGAAAATAAATTTAAACCATCAATATCGAATTGATTATTATGCTTTAAGGAACATTCAAGATTAAGGCAATATTTTTTAAATTTTTATTATGTAGTAATCTTAATTTTTACCGCTAAATAAAAAACCAAAAATATTTTCATATGCTTCGAATTGTTCAAATATTTTGAAGTGAAAAAAATACCTTTGTCTACTATGTATAAAGTAATCAACTTCAAAGGACCCTTGGAAAATTTTTGATATTTTATTATCAACATTCGCATCAAATTGTTATTTCCTATATATCACACGCTTCTTACGAAATTCGGATTAGATATTTATTTCAAGTGCAATTTTCTTTTCAGAAATCATAGCAGTTGCAAATCATTCTTTTCTATACTTGTTAAAGAAAGAAATAAAACATTTTCATTTCACCGAATTTTTTTAAAACTTATAAATAGCCTATCAAACGTAATAAAAAATGCCTCCCCCCACAAATGTGGGGCCTAAAGCAGTTGTTTTACTTGCTTTATGGAAGGGCTGCCCTGATGTCTAAATACCTTATTATTGCTAATGTTTGTTTATTGTTTCATTTTCACTTTTTTTGAGCCGAGTGTCTTTCGAAAACAGCATCTCTACTGTCATAATGTAGGAGTAAGGTCGATGTACGCTTTACCCTCCGTAAACCCCACTTGTAAGATTTCACTGAATTTTTTGTTATTGTTGTTGTATTATAAAACATGGACACTCTCGTATAAGTTATGCTAGGACGTTACATTGATTAGAGGAGAATATATTAATTATGCATAAATTTATAACGAAATCAAACATTATATAGTAAATACCGAAGTTTATGCAAACATGAAACTCTCTTATACTTAAGAAGAAACTAGCAGTAAGTAAATATGAAGTTTACTACAAAATTGTTATATGAGACTTTTTCTTCTTGTAGGTGTTCTTTTGTGGATGGAGCTGTGCAAAAGGTTAATGTGGTAGTTGCTAATCTTTTACTAATATATTTGTTTATTTGATTTTGATATTTCTTTATCTATCAAGACATAGTCAAAGGATGATTGAGCTTAGTCATCTTCATCATTTTCACAGAAACACCAATAGTCTCTTCCCTTCAAAGGACTATGTCATTAACACAATTCCCACTTTCCTTCCCACAATTCTCTTCTTTTCTAATGCAAAAATCCCAAAAATATGCTACCTATACTATTCATTCTCATCAATCTTACAATTTTCCCATCTATTTCTGCTCTCGATTTTCTCTTCAATTCCTTCACTACCAACTCCACCCCAGTCCTAAACCTCATCGACGATGCTCGCCTTGAGCCGCCAGTGATCCGCCTCACCAACGACTCCAACCAATTTTCCCGTGGCCGTGCTTTTTACCCATCTCCAATTCCTATCAAATCCACTTCCAATTCTACTTCCATTTCCTCCTCTTTCTCTACCCAATTCATCTTCTCTATTCTCCCCGATGATCCCTCTAGTCCCGGTTTCGGTCTTGCTTTTGTTCTTTCAGCTTCAACTTCCCCACCCAACGCTCTCTCCAGTCAATACTTTGGACTTTTCACTAACGCCACCGTTCATACCGTGGCTCCACTTCTCGCCGTCGAGTTTGATACGGGTCGTAACCCGGAATTCAATGATCCGGATAGAAACCATGTCGGAATTGATCTTAACAGCATCGAATCTGTCGTTACTCAAACGGCTGGATATTATAATTCTTCTGGTAATGGTAGTGATTCTTTCGTGCCTCTAAATATGCGAAGTGGACAAAATATTCATGTTTGGATCGAGTTCAATGGGCCTGAATTCGAGATTAATGTTACTATAGCTCCAGCTGGTATGTCACGGCCTGTTAAGACTATGCTAAGTTATAAAAACCCCAGAATTGCAAATTACACGTCTGCTGATATGTTTGTTGGGTTCTCTGCTTCCAAGACTCAATGGATTGAGGCACAAAGAGTTTTAGCTTGGAGTTTTAGTGATTCTGGAGTTGCACGGGATATTAATACTACGAATTTGCCTGTTTTTCAGCTGGAAAATTCGACGTCTTCGTTATCTCCCGGTGCTATTGCTGGGATTGTAGTTGGTTGTGTTGCTGCTGTGTTAGGTTGTTTGTGTGTATTTTATTGGTTTTGGTGGAAGAGGAGGGGTAAGGAGGAAGAGGATGTAATTGAAGATTGGGAACTCGAGTATTGGCCTCATAGATTTTCATATGAAGAGCTTAACCTAGCTACAAAAGGGTTCTCTAAAGATGAGCTACTTGGGGCTGGTGGATTTGGTAAAGTATACAAGGGAATACTATCTAATAACACAGAAGTGGCAGTGAAATGTGTGAACCATGACTCAAGACAAGGAATAAGGGAATTCATGGCTGAGATATCGACTATCGGAAGGCTTCAACACAAGAATTTAGTACAAATGAGAGGGTGGTGTAGGAAGGGAAATGAACTTATGATTGTGTATGATTACATGCCTAATGGAAGTCTGAATAAATGGATATTTGATAAGCCAGAGAAGGTTATGAATTGGGTAGACAGGAGGAGGGTCCTAGCTGATGTTGCTGAGGGTTTGAACTATTTACATCATGGTTGGGAACAAGTGGTTGTACATAGGGATATTAAATCTAGCAATGTTTTGTTAGATAGTGAAATGAGAGGGAGATTGGGTGATTTTGGGCTAGCAAAGTTATACACTCACGGTGGTGTCCCTAATACTACTAGGGTAGTAGGTACATTAGGGTACTTGGCACCTGAAGTGGTGACAAGGGCTACACCAACTGCAGCTAGTGATGTTTATAGTTTTGGGGTGGTGGTGTTGGAGGTGGCGTGTGGGCGAAGGCCGATTGACACAGGGTTTATGGTAGAGGAAGAGGAAGTGTTGATTGATTGGGTTAGACAAAAGTACAGGGAAGGGAGATTGTGTGAGGCAGCAGATGATAGGATTAGGGGGCAGTATTCGGAGGACGAAATGGAAGCTATGTTGAAACTAGGCCTAACTTGTTGTCACCCGGATCCTCTCCGACGACCTACTATGAGAGAGGTGGTTGCTGTATTGCTAGGTGAGAATGTGGAGGCAACACAAAATAAATTGCTAGCTGAATTAACACCTACTGTCAGCAGCATGAAAGATAGAAGCAGTAGTGCAAGTGAGGAAGGAGATAAATACTTGTCACAAGAATCGGAACTACTATCGGTTGTGTAGATATTGTATTGCATTTTTGTTTCCTTTGTTGTAGAAATTGTCGGTATTCTCGGTTAAGGATTGATTTTTTGTATTCTTTGTACAAGCTATGGAACTCTAAACTTTGCATTAGTTGTAAATAGTTATGTGTTTGACTTATTAAAATCTTTTCGAACAAATCAATCAAAGATGAAGGGGTAAATCTTAGTCAAACATAATTAATTCCAGATCGAAATGTTAACAACAACGATTGCACATGGGATGAAAGAGATATGATTGATCTTATTAAGATTCGATATTGTCTTGTCTTCCTCATCGATCGATGAGGAAGTAGATTTACATCTTTTCTTCGAGGTCATTTCCTCTTCTTTTCTAGAATACAAGAAGGGAGCTTTTTGTCTTCCTTTTTTAGAAATTGGAGCCCCCCCCCCCCCCCCCCCCCNTATTAGAAATCGGAGAATCCCCCCAGTTGAGAGCTTTCCCTGGCTATATATAGTCAGGGTATCCTTGCCCTTTGCTTGACTCGACGTCTTCTTGCCACTGATGTGTCTTGGCCATGATTTTAGGCGTCACTCTTACCGATTCGTCGGATGTCATGGAGGAGAAATGGAGTGGGCTCCGTTGACCTTCACTGCCCAGTTACTGAGACGGGGTGTCGGTTGACTTGATCGTGATGGTCAAATTTTGACCAATACAGTTAGTCCCCCCGTCTGTCGGGGTCGTCCTATGTCGGACTCGGCAGACGGATCATGTTCGTTACGACTTCAAGAGAAATCTGACCCACGACTTTCCGTTCCTTAGTCACATTTTGTGGATTTTTTACGGAGTGGCGGCGTTTTTTCGATCCTCATGAACCGTTGCGGCGGTTTCAGAACCGAAACATTGTTTGGTATTGAAGCGTTGGTTCGTGGTTATCACCATTATGACACACGTTCTTGGGGAACCGAAACATTTCGTGCCCTATCAGATTCGATAGGTGACTTTTGGATTTCGTGCTCGAGGGATTTATGTCTCTTATAAATAGGTGGAGTTTATCATTCGATTGGCACACTTCTTCATCTTTTGCTCGGGAGAGTCTTGCAGATATATCTTTTTTTTTTCTGATACCTCGAATTTCTGCTTACCCTCTTCTTAACTGAAATCTTTCATCTCTCCTTTTTATTACTTCTTTGGCACATTTTCTGCTAAAAATGGCTGGTGATTCCCAAAAACTAAATTAATTCTACAAACAAAGACATATATGAAGGAAAAAAAACTTCCAAACACCTATTAAATCTTGGGGGAGAGGTGGTGGGTTTTGGTTTGAGACGAGACATTTGAAATGGTGACGTAAAACAAAAACGGTGTAATAATAAGAAATATCATGGAGCCTAACTTTTGGATTGATTCTAATTAAAGTTAATGCTCCTGTGCAGCAATTATATTCCATAAAAACCAAGAACGACAAAGTAAACTTTTTCTTCAATTCAGTTTATGAGTTACCTGATAGGAAAATCTGAGCAGATCCCCTTTGTTTTGCTAGTTAAAGACACCGTCCGTTATAAGCGAGTGAAGCCCATCTCTCTTTGTACCACATCGCTAATTGAAGTTCCAAACTAAGCATTTAAAATGCCGTCTACTGCATCTCTTGGGCACGACCTTACTTGAACAGGATCTGTTCTATAGGCTCGTACCACTGTATCCTTGAGTTCTAAGGAGACAGAAAACCAAGTCTGGTTGATGAAGTGTGGCCATGAGACTAGAGCGTGAGTAACAGCTTTGGTTGCCTTGGGCTTCTGCGCAGTAGAGGATCGTTCTCAGGCCTCTCGTAGGTCTGGGGTGGTCTCTTGGCTCTCTGACAGACTCAATCTTTTTTATTTTTGCTTTTTACAATTCATGTCGGGCACAACCTAATTCTTTGCCATCTTCGTTTACCTAAAATTTTAGTACCAAACTCTTCAGTTTGTTTTAGGTATATTTTATTTTATCATATATGGCTACACCAGATGCAACATGTGTCACTAGATGGGATATCCCTTGGAACATTCAGTAATAGGAAACTGAAACCTGTACTATACTTTGTTGATACTTGATTGTCAAGGCCAAAGACTTTATTTAGTTCATTTGTAGACAATGTGTTCGACCATTGTTCACAAAGACTATTAGAGAGTGAAATTTAACGGGTGAAAGCTGAAAGATGGCTTTTGTTCTTGCCCTCTGCTTTGGAAAGTCTGAGAGTATTGATGGCAAGTTGTAGCTGCGGACTCTTTCATTGTCTCAGGCCCACAAACGAAGACACCGATATTGGATCCCTTGGATTCATTAGCAAACTGGGAAAATATGTCTGTTCAATTGTCAACATGTTAGAACGCCAATAGATTGGAAGTTAAATGTTAAAACAAGGACATGGATGTATTTGGGACATACCTTTAAAGTTTGGCCTTGCTCCAAAATGGATTTCATGTTGATCAAAACCTTTATTTGCTTCTGTTGGTTTCATTGGTTTTCTTTCTGTTTCAGAAAATGGTGGAATTTCTTCACTTAGCCTCTTCCATCTCCATAAGGTAGCCACTAAGGTGCTAGATATTAGTGCTAATGCAAACGAGCATATGAGAAGAACGTCCACTATTGAGGAGGCAGTTTTCTGTTCAGATGACTTCTTATTAGGCCTGATAATAATATGGTTGAAGATGCTAAGGAATGCTAGAAAAATGATAGACGCCAACAGAAGGAGGACGGCCATCCATCGCAAGTTCTCAAGTCCATATACTGCATAACCAGAACGCTTGTTGGCGAGATGAATGGTTTGTATTTTAGAGACCTCATCTAGCACTTCACGTAGGGATTTGTTGGCTTGGTGTTCCCGCGTGACAAACACTTTAAGTTGTAGATAACTTTGTTCTTCATCAAAAACCTGCGGTAGGACTGGGTCTAACAAGCAGATGCTTTGGGAATCTTTTATGGTGTAGACAAGCTGTACTTTTACAGGTAATACATTTTTGTTACTTCTTGCTGAGGCAATTTCTTGCAGAATGCTGAAGAATGGTGTAACCCCAATTCCACCTGCAACTAGAAGTAGACTATCATATCTGCAGAAGATTCAACAACTTATTATATATGGGGAAATATGATTGATAACTTGGTCTAAAATCAAACATGAAATAACATCATTTCCTTCACCTCAGAAAGTCCATTGATGAAGGTCCATAAGGGCCTTCTGTTGCTACGTGAAAAAATCTCATTCCATCAGCTTCTGCGTCAGTCTTTGAATGTAGCATATTATAGAGAGTGCGGGTCCACCGTCCCTCAGCTTTGATCAAAATAGAGATAGTGTCTTTATCAACTTTGGAGCTAGAAGTTATGCTAAAGGGATGCCATTGAAAATTTGAAATATTCGGGATCTTGACATAAATCACGCTTGTTGGTGTATACTTCAACCCTGAAATAGTGTGTTGAGTAGGTTGATTATTTAGGCCCAGTCATGAATTAAGAAAGCATATTCGCATTTAAATTGGAGAGAGATTACTGATTTTGTACTTGGATCTTTTGGCAGTGTCAACTCTATGGCTTTGGAAGGGAAGATTCGAGCAGAAAGAATATACGTTTCTGGCCTCGATTGAATTATTCGGAGTATCTTGTCAAGGCAAAACAAAAAAATGCCAGGGAAAACCATGTAAAAGTGGCGATCTCCAGCGTGAAGCAGGAAAAATAGTATGAACACTATGTACAAATGATGTGTATAATAGAAGATCTCGAATCGTTTCCTTCTGATCTGTGGAAGTGACGTGATCCAGATGACCAATCCTGTAACAAGACTGATCTCCCCAGCAAGGTAAATACGCCCTACCTTTTGCCATTTCCACATCTATAATTTTCCACAAAAAAGGACTTAGTAACAAAGCATAGATAGATATGTTCAAACTAAATTGAAAAAGGAAGTAATGTTCAAATGATTACATGAGGTTACCTCATCTCCAATGCGATGTTTCAAACTAAATTGAAAAAGGAGGTAATGTTCAAATGATTACATGAGGTTACCTCATCTCCAATGCGATGTTTCATACCCCAGATTAGAAAAGTACCTCCACCATGTAAAGTGGCAAATAATATCATTGCTGTCCCAAGCCAAATGTGGTATCTCACGGAAGCTTCAAATTGGATGCCAATTAATCGAAATATTGACATCCCCCTCAAGATGGGAAGAAGAAGAAGAGCTAGGCAGGCTTCTGCTAATAAACCACACCTTGTTGCGACTCTAAAGATTCTGTATTGCCATCTGGAAACAGCCGAGTTGGAAAATATTATCAGAGAGTACTCTGATACTTTTGTTGCAAATGATGCTATCATATTTGCATGGAAATATAGGATTATACTTACACGTGCAAAGCGAATGATTTAATTGGTATCATCTTCTTGAAGTCACTGGAGATACGCGAATAGAATGTCCATGCTAGAAAGATGACGAATAGAGATACAGCAAGGATTTCAAACCCAGACAGCATTCCTATATACCTATTCACAACTAGTGGATTGGAGAGAACAGATAGTGAAGATCTTCCTTTCCTGTCAACCAAATTCAGCACATGTTTGCATGAAAGTGGCCTATATTCAACATTAGTATGCTTATATATATACTGCAGGTAAAAAGCATACCTGCTGGTTGGTTCCTTTTGTTTCAGTTCCAAGTACATAAAACCTACTATAGCTATAGCAATAACAGGGAAGGTGTAGACAGCAAAATTAAGACCTGTAGGACCTCAAAAGGAAAAAAAAAAAAAACATTCACTATTTTGGAGGGGATTAACATTGAACAGGACATTACATTAGCATTTCTTGTACAGGTAAATGATGAGTTTGAAGTTAAACCTATACATCTAAAATAATTTGAGTTAGGAATTCAGAACCTCACCAGTTTGGGTTAAGAATGAGGTTGATGCCTTTGCTTCTGCAATTTTCCAAGTTTTAGTCCATAGTTGCGTGGGCTTGAGAAGCCAAAGTGATACCCATCCAGCAAATATCAAGACAAGTAGCAATTTAAGGAGGAAAGAGGGAATTTTAGTCATCTTTCAAGAAGAGCTGACTCTATACATGGAATGTAACGAGTTTCTATATATATAGTCTGGTAAATTATTCTGAACACCCTTCCAATATGAGTCAAATGCAAAATACATCCCTTGTACTTCAAGATTATACACTTAACCCCCTTACACAATAGAACTCCTACACAAATATTAGCTTGAAAATATTTCGACTTTACAAACTGTTAAAGTGTTACCCTATATTAACAGTGGCATCTGTTGCTCCCAGAAATTATTGTGCGCTCTGCACCATCCATCAATTTTGGAATCAATTCTCATATAATAACAAGTTAGACCTGTTTTAAGTGAGATTGATGGTGATGGATAATGATGCCATCAACTTATGACATTTGTGATGGCTTTCAAAATGGGAATATATCTCCTTCTTCTTCTTTGCTTGCTGAGTGGATGCTATTATCAGCATATCTATTCATTACAACAGATGAACCAATTTGCAGTAGTGGATACATGGTCCACTCCACTATTGCTACAGACTATGTTGTCTGACCTTTGTCCGCATGTAGATGAAAGAGATCCAAAAAGATAGCCCTCTACTCTAACTGGTTGACTATAATTTGTTCATCCAGGGAACCAGACCCATTACATAAAGTGAGGAACTGGTAGAGCTCTTGCTAACAAGACAGCACAGTGAATTACTGATTTTTGCTTCTAGTTGTGCTAGCACAAATATTTTTTGAGATGGTCCTACAATGTGGTTGGTAATTAGATTACCCCAAAAACTATGGTTTACTAATATGAGCTCGATTAGTTGATTATGAAAATCTGTGAGTGTGACATTCGCACCAAAATATGTCTCCCTGCATATCTAAAACTGCTAGAACAGAAAGCTTAAGTGGAAACTTAGATTAATAATAGCATTTGGAAACAGATGAACAATAGCTACTGAGCATACGCCAGGTGGTTGATGAAACACAGCATTTGGAAATGTACTACACTGGTGATTACTTTTATTATACAGTTTAAGCACCTTCTTGGTGCTATGTAGTAATGAAATTTAAACTTTTACCTGATCAAAGGAAAAAAAAGTCTTATTTTATTAGTTTGCTAATTAAACCTCTAGTATCAGCTATATTATCTGATGTTTTTGTATTATTTCATCAATACTAGTAGTTGATGCCAAATCAAGCATAGACATGAATTAAGCTTAAAGGCTAAAGCCCCTCCGAATAATTTCAGTAGTACTGGTTATCACAAGATATTAACGATTTTAAACTGTCTACTCGTCAAGACGTGACCAAATTAATAGTCCGAAGAACGAATATATAATAACAAATTGGAGTATGATTTTTAGTGGATTTTCACAAGCCTATGCTATTATATTTTCCTGAATCTTACGGGAAAAAGATATATGGCATATTGGAAGGAAAATCAATCGACGGTAAGTACTAGCCATTGGTTTGCATTTTTAGCACATCATGATATGGTCCAAAAACACTTTACCTCGTGCAAAAAGCTTAAATTCCAATTCAAGACAAACTAGACGTTTCCATTGCCTCTTAAATCGCTGTCTAAGGTCGGTCCAAAGAGAAAATAGCAAGGAGAAGCATGTTACACTAGAGAAATAGAAAAGCAAATTTTCTTTTTATATAAAAGGCACAGTTCGTACATAGAATGTGACATATTCAAAAGCCTGCAAATGTTGACAAAAGAAAGAATCAAAACCTTTTTCCTTACTTTGTGTCTTCGATAGCGACGACCTTTGTTTGTTTGCCTCATAATCGGCCAATTCCGTAAGCATTTAATATTTATTTCCTTCTTCCATATTTTCTCCCTTTTTTTAAGTCCATAATATTTACCTCCAGTCCCCACTAAGCCATTTTTTTTCCCTTTTTGGACCGGAAGAGATGGGGGTGTATAATTCACTGCTTGAATAGTAGTAGCATCAAGATTTAGAAAAGAGATGTCTTGGGAAATCGAAGAGATTGGAGAAGATAGCAAGAGTGAAGTAAGTAACAAAGATGGTGGAGGAATAACAAATGATGTTTATGTAGCTGTTGGCAAAAATGACTTGCATGTTCTTCAATGGGCACTTGATCATGTCATCTCCCCAGGAATTCGCATTTGCCTTGTCCATATTTTTCCTCCTATTACCTACATCCCTTCACCAGGTAATTGTTACTCCATTTGTCAATTTAGTGTGAATTTGATGCTTCATCCAAAACAGTAGCGCAGACATAGGAAAATTGTGTTACTTTTTCATACTGTGTCTTCACTACTTTTTTCCCTTGATTACTAGTTTACTACAGCTTTACAGAATGATGTATTGAAGAAATCAGGGGAATGTTAAGTTAGGATAATCAGTACATCAAGCAACAACATACCTGCGCTACTCTCGGAACTTACCCCTACCCCGAAAAGGATAGAGAGGTTATTTCCGGCAGACTCTCGGAATCCGAGAATACGAATAGTTTTTTAGTTACATGATTAAGATATTTAATATTCTGGCTCAATTCCTTGCTTATGTGACTAGAGTGACGCCACTTGAAAAATAACACACAAAAAAAAAATCAATTTAAGGTAATAATTAATGTCTCAAAACTCTAAACTTAAACCCATGTACAAGCCGGATTATGATAATAGGTCAAAATATTTGTGCAAAATTCTGCATACGATTATTGATTGCGGCATCCTGATCACATGAAGATGCCTGGCAATCATAGAGTATTAATATCTATTCCCAAAATTATTCCATACTCCTCCCGTTCACTTTTACTTGTCCAATATTTTAAAAATAGATTTTCAATTTTACTTGTCCACTTTTGCATATCAAGAGAAAAATAATTTATTTTTCATGTTTTGCCCTTAGCATTAATTATTTATTACAAATCATTTTCCAAATCTATTAAGTCTATACACTAATTAATATGGGTATCATGGTAAATTATGCACTTTATTTATTATTTCTTAAAGGTGTGCAAAGTCAATAATGAACCAATAAAGGTGAACCGATGGAGTATATTTGTTTAATTTCTATCGAGGTGAGCCAAACCAAAAGTATGGTGCTTCTGATCTTGTAGTAGCTAACGACGAGACTATAGGTTATGTCACAATGTATCTGGTCTTTTGTCAATAAGAGGCTAGTTGAGATAAAGAAATTGTTTGCACATTGCGTCATTTGTATTCCAACTAAAATTTCCGTGGTTTTTGAACAAACTTTAGCAAGAAGGGTGAAATATTAATGAGGAAAAATCAAAAAGCAAAAAAAAAAAANAGTTGGAAAGTTATCAAAAAGCCAATTGAGCAGAGAGCAGGTGCAAGCCTACATCAATCAAGAGAGTAACAGGAGGAAAAATCTCTTGGAAAAATACATCCGCCTATGCAATGATGCCAAGGTAGGTGCATTTCAACATTATCTGCAAATTTCCCATTTAGCCAAAATCAAAGGATGATTCTTGTTGACATTTACGGATTAATTGGGAATCAATGCAGGTACCAGTAGATACTGTACTTGTGGAGAGCAAATCACCAGCCAAAACATTACTTGATCTAATCGCCGTCGTCAACGTTACCAGCCTTGTGATTGGAACTAAGCGATCACTTTCCACCATGTAATTAGACATACTTTTACGTTAACTCACATCTGATATTTTTGTCCAATTTGAAATGTATAAGTTGGAATTTGAAGAACTGAAGAGTTTATTTTCGTTTCAGACGAGTGAAGAAGGGACATGGAGTAGGAGAATATGTTCAAAAGAATGCACCAGATTTCTGTCAAGTTAAGGTCGTTAGTGAAGGCAAAGAGATTAAGAACGAGCATGTGGTGCAGGTGAAAGGGAGTAGTAATCCTACTTCTCTTGTGCGTAGTAAACAATCTGACAGGAATTTCTTTGAATGCATGTGCTTTTCTGGCAAGTTTAATTGAAATGTGGGAAGAAATATGAGGAAAGTAGGCCTTTGTACAAGTTTAATAGCATAGCGTTACTCTCAGTTTTCTAATTTAGATGTTATGTCTAGTGTCTAGTACATAAAATGATAACATAGAGAAAGTACTCCAAAATATCCACTACTAAATAACCTACTTAATTTTTTTTTCACAAGTTGCATTTTGCTAACTTTGATTATGGTGTTAAGTTGTGTTACATCCATTTCAATTTGAAGAAGGTATTGTATAGGTCCAAATTTGGACGACCACGGCTACTGTCGAGCACGCCACGAGACGAGGTCTTCACGACACGACGTCTTGTGGCCGTTGAAGACGGTGACGATCGACAGCGGTTAAAGGACGCACGATCTTTGCAGTAGTATAGGCCCAACATGAGGCAATAGGAATATACTTTCGAATATTCTGTATGACATGTCTTTTAGGGTTCGGGAGGGAATTGTCCCTTATATATAGTGAGTAGAAACCCTTGTGGAAGGGGGGAATTTTTGACGAAGAGCACTCATTGTAATATCTTTCTACATTCTAGGTTATCATTTTTGACGCTTAATCATTCGGTTCCACGAGATCAATAAACATTATATACCTTGTTCATCCCTTATGCCTCTCATTCTAGAATTTATTATACTTGACTGAGATTTACCCCTTCATCTTCTTTAATTGATTTAATTAAAAATGTTTCAATATCTTTTGGGTCAAACAATTTGACGCCGTCTGTGGGGATTTCTTTAGCTAAGATTATAGTTTCATCTAGACTCCTGAAAGGGATAATCACTTCTTCCGAGCTTGGTACAAACCAACAATGGCAGGGAAAGGAGATGCAAGGAAAAAAGCCATAGTAGGCGTCACAACCAACCTCCTAGACACCATCAACGAAGATAACAGAGAAGATCAAGAGAATGAAATACCAAACATCACACCCGGGGGAGACACTTCACCTCCCCCGCACGGAAGCGTGACTGCTTCACGCAAAAGGGAAGCCTCCACATCTGCAACAGGAGAGGCACCACTGGTAGTAAGAAGACTGCTGGAAGAATGGATAACCAGTGCTCTGAACACCATCCTTGATAAACCCGCCCAAAGGGATGATAGAATGTGGCACATGCAGATGTCACGATAAACGAGGGTGAGTAAGACGACCTCCGTACAGGTAACACTTATATTGCTAATAAAGCAGGAAATGATACGCTTGCAGCCGTTTTCAAGAAAATGGAGGAGATGGAAAATGAGAATAAGGCACTCCGTAACCAAATGAAGGAACACCAAGAGAGAGTTGACAAAATACCAGGCGCTCCAAAGTTGCTGCCAAAACGCGATGTTGGTCGATTCATCGAGCAACCATACAGTGAAGAAGCGACCCCCTACACCATTCCAAAGACCTTTAAAATGCCACCCTACTTAAAGATATATGATGGTACTACTGATCCAGAAGACCACATCATCCACTACGTTACAGCCGTAAAAGGCAACGATCTCTCAAAAGAGCAGGTACCATCGGTGCTGTTGAAAAGGTTCGGCGAAAACTTAATAGGGGGAGCCTTGACATGGTACTCTCAACTACCAGCACGCTCGATAGCAACATTCGAGGAAATGGCGGACAAATTCGTCACCGTCCATGTAGGAGCCTAAAAGGCAGAGGCTAGGGTAAATGATATATTTTCCATAAGACAGATGCACAGCGAGGGACTCAGAGACTTCTTAGCTCGGTTCAACATGGTGAGAATGACCTTGCCAAATGTGTCAGAAGGAATGGCAGTAGCATCCTTCCAGAACAGATTAAACAGAAATGGGTCGAGGAGAGATCGTCGCAACGACGGTCGAAGAGATTAGTTGGGGTCCTGCTTTGGTCGGGAAAGGCATCAACCCTAAGTCAGAACGTCTGCCCCGCCTCTACCATGGTGCAGGGATGCTCCTCCTTGACATATGGCACTATATCGACATGAGAAAGGTATGCCTCCACTCCTATCCGCTCACAATTTCTGTGTTTCTCCTTCAGAAATAGTATATGCCCTAGAGAAACTCGGTCCAAAGGTGCAATGGCTGCAAAAGATGAGGTCAGACCCTAGCACTCAGAAGTCAAGCGCTTTCTGTGAATTTCACCAAGAAAGGGGTCACAAAACCGAAGATTGCATAGGACTGCGACACGAAGTAGTATGAATGCTAAACCAAGGCCACCTGAAGGAGCTACTAAGCGATCGAGGACGGACTAACTTCGCCCGCGGACATGAACAACCCCAAGGACCTCCAAAACCAACTTCTCCCGCTCGCACCATACAGATGATCATCGGCGGGGGCGACGACGCAGTGATCAATCATGTCAAGTTCACCATCACACATAAACTCAAGCAATCAATCACCTACGAACGGTATGATGACCTCGAAGATAGTATCATCTTCGATAAGTCAGATGCCGACGATTTGTCTTTCCCTCACTATAATGCTCTTTTTATCACTTTACGTATCGCAGATACTGATGTAAAAAGAATAATGGTAGATGACGGGAGCGGTGCATGTATTATCCATCCTCGAGTCCTCGTGCAGATGAGACTCGAAGATAAAATAATATCGCATTGTATAACGCTAACAAGTTTTAATAATGTAGTTGAACGGACTTCTGGAGAGATAGTGCTACCCGTCCTACCCGGAGGAGTCACCCTGGAAACGACATTTCACGTCATGAACCAGGAAATAGCTTACAACTCCATCATGGGGTGCCCATAGATACACGCCATGTGAGCGGTCCCTTCCAGTATCTATCAAGTGATCAAGTTTCCTACCCCATGGGGAATATTTAGCATTCGAGGGGAGCAACGCACTGCACAAGAATGTTATGGCGTCGCCCAAGATTGCGCACACACCCAACAACTCGACGGAGCAAATGTGGAAGCATAGCAATCAGCAATGTCGGGAACCAAAACGTGCAGACAGATGTTATCAAGGACCCCGACACCGTGGAAGCATCCGAATCAATGATAGAAAATTTTGATCCTGTCCTGTAAGACAGCAACAACAGCACAAAAAAGGCTTATATCGGGCACAACCTCTCGGAACCAGGTAAATTTCATAAGTTCTTGACTAACCATGCCGATCTGTTTGCCTTCTCCCATGCAAATATGCCAGGCATCCCGAAAGATATCGCCACCCACAAGTTAAACGTTGACCCCCTATACCCGCCGGTGTAGAAAATGAGAAGGAAGTTCAACGCCGCAATCAACGAATCCGTCAGCGAAGAGGTCGATAAGCTGCTCGCAAATGGCTCCGTCCGGGAATCGAAATATCCTCAATGGGTCGCCAATGTGGTCATGGTGAAAAAGAAAAACGAAAAGTGGCAGATGTGTGTAGATTTCACGGACCTAAACAAAGCATGTCTGAAAGATTCTTTTCTATTGCCGCACATCGACCAACTCATCGATGCAACAGTAGGACACGAGTTGCTAAGCTTCTTGGATGCCTATTCGGGTTACAATCAAATCCTCATGGAAGAAGAAGACCAGGAGAAAACCACTTTCATCACTCACCAGGGAACATACTGCTATAAAGTGATGCCGTTCGGACTAAAGAATGTGGGGGCGACATATCAGAGATTGGTCACCAAAATGTTCAAAAACGAACTTGGTAAAACAATGGAAGTCTACATCGACGATATGCTGGTTAAGTCGAAGAGGAAAGAAGATCATATTGGTCATCTAAAGGAAGCCTTCGACATATTGGGATGGTACGACATGAAACTAAACCTCAAAAAATGCCCCTTCGGCGTAAGCTCGGGAAAGTTCCTCGGTTTCCTAGTGTCACAAAGAGGCATCGAGGTCAGCCTGGAACAGATTAAGGCCATCGAAAGAATACCCGAAACACTGACCAGCAAAAAGCAGGTACAAAAATTGATGCGACGGATAGCATCCTTGTCGAGGTTCATCTCACGGTCATCGGATAAGTGCCATAAATTCTTTAATGTATTAAGGAAGGACAACGGGATTCAGTGGAATATAGAATGCATCGATGTCCTGAGGAAACTAAAAGCGTACTTGTCTTCGCCACCCTTACTCGCCAAAGCAGACCCAGGCAAGTGCCTCCTAGTCTACCTAGCCGTATCTGAAGTCGCGGTAAGTGCAATTCTAGTCCGGTAAAGCCAAGGTACGCAATCTCCATTTTACTATATCAGTAAAACCTTAATTGACGCTAAAACAAGGTACCCCCACCTTGAAAAACTAGCTCTGGCGCTAGTCGTAGCTTCACGAAAGCTTAGACCATATTTTTAGTGTCACCCCATAAAGGTGGTGACAACTTTTCCTCTCAGGAGTATCCTACACAAACCCGACGGCTGGCCAAATGGGCCATAGAACTAAGCGATCACGATATTACATACCAACCACGAACCGCAATAAAGTCGCAAGTGCTCGCCGACTTCGTCATCGATTTCAGCGCAGAAATACTACCCGAAGTCAAGCAAGAAGCGCTTCGCACTTCATCTGAGCAATCCGACCTCTGAGTCCTCTACACCGATGGCGCGTCCAATACATCGGGATCGGGACTAGGACTCGTACTCGAAGTCCCAATGGGAGAAGTAATTCGTCAATCTGTACGATGTCCTGAAATGACTAACAATGAGGCCGCGTATGAGGCCGTAATTGTAGGGTTAAAATTGGCTCTCAAGTATGGTGCTTGGTGGGTCATCCTCCGCTGCGACTCTCAACTCATTGTGAACCAAGTTACTGGGACTTTCCAAATTAAGGAACAAAGGTTGAAGAAATACTAGACCGAAATCCACAAACTGCTGCCAGAATTCAACGAATGTCGATTCGACCAAATACCCCGAGAACAAAACATCAAAGCAGACGGTCTCGCCAAGCTGGCAGCGACAACTAAAAACATCACCAAGGAGAACGTGGTCATCCTCCTCTACTCATCAATAGACCAAGTCGAGGTATATTCTATAAATTTAAATTGAGACTGGCGTAATCGCATCATATCATATCTACAGGAAGGAACACTCCCACAAGATAAAAAAGAAGCCAAAAAGCTCTGAATATAAGCGGTCAGATATAGCCTCATAAACCACGACCTTTAAAAAAGGACGTTCGGCGGCCCGTTAGCCAAATGCCTTAGACCCAATCAGATAAGGCGTGTGCTCAAAGAGGTACACGAAGGCCACTACGGCAC